GGGCTTATATTAGGCCCACCCCCAAAAAACAATCTAGGGCTTATTTTCGGGTTAAGTCTTACTTTCAGAGAAACATGGTAGTAGTTTTTGGGATAAGAAATATAGCATGCAGGCATTTGATGAAATTCAAATCCAATTCAAGCTTCTTCATTCAATTCTGATCTGAATCATGATCTGTTTCACAGCAAAGCTCACTGATTATTATATTTTACAGTAAAACTATTATTCCAATAGGATTGCTTTCTTCTATGGTATAATATTTGAATTGTATTTCTGATGGCTTTAGATTAGTATCTCTGAAATGCTACTGAAATGGATGTGTGTTATAATCAACATAGGAGGGCCAGTGTCCAAATATATTGATATAATTTTGCTATTTATTCCCACAGTGACCCATATTGATGTCTTGATTATCCCATTTATGCTACAGATTTCCAGGTCAGCTATCCCTGTTTCACATCAATTATTAAATCCTTTATCTTTAGCATGCACTAATGAATTCTTTTAAAATAACATTTACTTGCTGATCTTAGTAAATAGCTTGCTTGCTTATTGAATACATCCCATTTTGTTACATTTTCTGGAGGTTTCCCTCCTCCCTCCCCCCAAGCCTACATTAATCTGCTGGGTATGAAGTGCTACCATGATGAAAGCACAGTTAATTTTAACTTACTACAAGGTTTTTATTCCTTTTCATTATATTGTAAGTTTATTCACATTTCCTTTTAATTAGTAGTGATAATAGCATCTCTAGTAGCTGTTTCTTTGGAGATAGAAATTGCAGATCCTTTCTTAAATGTAAAATCTCTCCCCTTTTAAATGATTTTCAGAATTCCATATTAGACAATACCTAAAGCATTATTTAATTATTATGAAATTTGTAATATTTTGTTCCTTTTTTCATCAGTTATCATCAGGGCTGTGTCTTCTTGATTAACAAACAAAATACACTAGTCAGTGGAATCTCTAACGTTATATCATATAAGGGTAGCCCAAGATAACTAAGTAACAATTCTAGCATGCTTAATCCATCAATAACAATTATCCAATACACTATATCAGGGGTAGTCAACCTTGGCTCTTTTATGACTCATGGACTTCAACTCCCAGAATTCCTGAGCCAGCTAAAGCTAAGCTGCATAAAGCTAAGCTGGCTCAGGAATTCTGGGAGTTGAAGTCCACAAGTCATAAAAGAGCCAAGGTTGACTACCCCTGCACTATATGCCTTACCTGTTATACAAACATCCACGGGGAAAAGGGAATATGCTATAAAATCTCCTATCTTTCGATTCAAAAGTAAATTTCATCAGTAAATATGGATGAAGCTTTGCACAACGATTTGAGCTTTATTTTTAATCTACTATGAATGAGTAATAATAGGATTTTAAAAATTATTTTTAATACTTCCTTATACACACCGCAGTAGTTCAAATGGATTGCCAGGTTGCATGCAAGAGGTTGTTAAAAGAAATAAAGAAAACTCTTTCATGCCATCTAGTGGTTAGATTTTTGAAGCCCAGATTTGATGATCTAGACCTGAAAGTACTGCAGAAGATGAAAAAAAATAAAAAGAAAGAAAGAAACTGACCAATTTTAGAGTCATATTTTTTTTCTGAAACAAAATAGCTTATGCTACAGTGCAAAACAAAGAGATCAGGAAAATATTAACATTTTCTGAAAATTAAATATTTGAATAGTCTGAAATGAAGATTTAAACTGCTGCATTATAGGCCTGCACCCAACCTCCCAGGGCCTCCCCAATCTCAAGACATCAATGATCCGCATGGCTGCTTAATGACTGCAACAGGGAGAGTCAGGCTTGTGGTTATTAAATGAGAGGATCACATGGGTACCTTGCTTAACAACTGCTATGACATACAACCATAATTCTGAGCTCAGTTGTGATCATAAGCCAAGGACTACCAATATTTAATTACCATAATTTCTCTCTTATTGGGAAATCCTTCCGATTGTGCATACATCCATTGTATAAATAGTTGTTAGTAGAGGCCTTTTAATATTACTATTTGCTCATATTACAGAAACTACAAAATAATTTGATCAGATGTTAAGCTTGGTTGACTCCACAGCATTAACAATACCTGAGGTTGGGTAGTAGCTTTTCTTTTCAATGTGTATCCAATTATGTGATGTTCCTCTGCCACTTCTCCTGGAGAAAATTCTAAGAGAACACCTTAGGGAGCATGAGAAGATAAACATTTTATTCTCAGAAAATATCTTCTGGAAAATGTTGTCTCAGATCCAAAGTAGGTACTATATACTAATTAACTTCATGAAACATAGCACGGCTTCATTAACGGTTTTCCATAACTATCTTCAGTTGGAGAAACAATAGTAGTTGGTAAATCCACCTTCCATCCTAGAGTTCTGATTTTTTAAAAAATTCTCTTTAGCGCATATATAATATATAACTGAACTGGTACTGAAAATATTATTTCATAATATCTTGTCTGAAATTAATCCTTGACTTAAGCATTCATCAAAAAATAAATGTGTATGTTGCTAATGGTCAAGGGTAGAAGGTAGTGCAATATAATTTGAGGCAGAGAAAGTAGACAAGGTTGAATCTTTTTGCCTGTAACATTGACTGAGTCCTGATGCAATTCATTGAAGATGAAGAGTTTAAAATTTGTTAATAATAATGGAAAATCAGGAAAAAAACCAGGCAAAAATTTAAACTGAGATATGAAAAAGTGTACAAGAGTGTATTACAATAGGTGCATAAAGATAGGAAGCTGGTTTCGTCAAGCCTGTTTGTTTGTTCTCCCAAAATTCCATTTGCATGGAGTGCTTGATTCATTTCAGGTATCTTTGCCACGGAATCTCCCAATAGGAGTTTTAATGTTATGCCAGAGAGAGATCTGTTGGAAGAAATCCCATTCCTAAGAGTTTATTAATGTTTTCCTTAATCCATGTTGGCTAATTTACCATTTTTGCAAGTAAATAACAAATACCAGTTAATGTCTTCAGGCATTCTAATTTAGATTTCATGTCTAATTTCATAATACAAGTGCTTGAAAAGCCTTTTTTTCTATTAAACTGGTTTCTGGCCTTTCTAAACAATAGAAATTGGTTTAAAGCACACTGGCCCATCTGCATCCAGAAATCTTGCAAACACAATGTTACTTCACAAGGTGGTGCCATTACTCTTGATCTGTCCATTACTGTTCTGAGAATCTAAAATACATGGAAATATGACAGGAAAATTCCAACTTGCAACAAGCTTCCTGACAGGGCTTATTGGGGTTTTTAAAGACTACCTAAGTACCCTGCCCTTTATCTTAAAATACGCTTTAGCTTTACTTCTTTCAATTCAGACAAAGCTAATTTAGATAGGTGGCTTGTACAAAATAAGCATTTATCAAAAGGCACAGCTCCATCTATTCAAGCAGAGTTGTATTTCTGGTCTAATATCCAAGGTAAGCTCTTAGAACAGAGGTAGGCAACCTCAGCTCTTTTATGACTCATGGACTTCAACTCCCAGAATTCCTGAGTCAGCTATGCTGAGTCATAAAAGAGCCGAGGTTGCCTACCCCCATCTTAGACTATGTGCCATAATCCAAATTCAACTGACATTGTTTTATGCTAGGTAAACATAAAGATTGTACTGCCAGACCATGTACTTAATTGTGGCATCTGTATGATAATGTCATGGAATGCATGCTACGATTTTAATATTATTACTTGCTCTGGAAGTTGCTACCCCTTTATTCTCTGTAATTTGTGATTACTTTAAAAAAAAGTTATAACCAGGGGTATTATGTTCATGTTATGTTTCAGAACTGACTCAGGGCCACAAAACCAGTTCCCCAATCTCCTGTTTGATTCGAATTAACTCTTGACAATGTACCAGTAGCCCTAGGAGCATATCAACACTAGCATTTGTTTACAACTCCTCTATTTTCAACGAATCCTGATAATTAGTCTTCTGCATTGAATACTGTAGTAATTGTGTTTATATCCAACCAGTACACTGAGAGTTCAAGATAGAATAATACATGGGAACTCAATAGCACAAACATATTCCAGCAACCTCGTTTTTTAAAGGCTGCCCATCTTATCACTAAGTCGTGATATTGTCTCATCTCTAATTCATATTGAAGGCAGCTATAAGTAAATCTTAGCTTTTCCAGTTTTCAAATATTGATTTTCCTTTTAAGCAGGCAGTATATCTTGACAGCTTTTCTATAGATACAATCTGATATACTTCATTGATCCTTTTGTTGATGATCCTAGGAATGGGATCATTGTGACATTATTGAACAGTTTAGGCCAATGAGCCTCAACTTTGGCAACTTTAAGTTTCCTGAACTTCAATGCCCAGAATTCTACTTTTACAAAAACAGTAAAACCAGGTTTCAATATAGCATTCTGCAATCAAGTAGGAAAGAGCTGTTCTGCTGCCATGAAACTTTGCTTCCCATCATGTCTTTGAATTTGTCCACCCAACTTGTACAATTCCAGAGGCTAATTTTCAGGCTGGACAAGAGGACAGATGAAAATACTGAACCAACTTCTTCAAACCTTTGGTTTCCTGGCAGGTAAAGAAAGATTATTCTCTTTCTGGACCTGACACTTCTCCATAACTGGGATTGATTGGAAGGGCTGAGAGAGGTGGCAAGTGTCATTAGAGAGGTGGCTTTCTAAAAGCCCAAGTCTCCAGACCTGTGAAGAGCCCTCTGCCATCTTTCCTAATCAGAGTGAATGCTGATAAAAGGCTAAACCTGCAGTACTTTTATTGCCAGATAGTTTTCCCATAGCATGGGTGAAATTGAAAGCTGGGGACGCCAGCCTTCCCAGTATGAGAAATGAAAACTTTAACCTTTGGCTACAAATCTGAACAAAGACAGTTGGGCTTTGCAAAATAAATTGCTTTATTGGTTTCAGGAGGGAAAAGCATTTTTAGTGAAACTTGAGGAAGAGTCCCTAGAAGCCACAGAAAAGGCCTTACTACAGAATTCCAATATTCAGAAGTGGATATGAAAATCAAATGGGCAGAAGTCTCCCTTAAGCCTTTGGAAAAGAGAGAGTATTAGGAAGAAGCTTAGCCTGATTCTCCCCTCACAAACTGGGGTGGTAAGAGGGGCAGGAATAAAAACCAATAAAAACTTGCCAGATTCTGTTCACCCATTTTGCTTTTCTCTTTCTGGAGCCAGTTTTCTGTTCTAGACAACCTCAAAGGGCTATGGGGTGGAGGGAAATAACTATCCTGTACTCCTGTTACTGAGAAGGAAAATGCCTTACTACTTAAGCAAGCATTTTTTCCTACTTCCCACCAGACTTGTCTCACATGCCTACATCCTGTGCATCACCATTTTGGAAGGGGACTTAAAAAACTTTCCACACCTTAAAGTGTGTTTTGAGGAACCAAAACACAGGACATAGAATAACAATTGGAAGCGACCTTGGAGGTCTTCTAATCTGACCCCCTGCATCATTCCAGAAAAAGTTGCCCAATTTCTTCTTGAAAATCTCCAGTGATGGAGCACCCACAACTTCTGGAGGCAAGCCATTCCACTGATTGTTTGTGCTGTCAGGAAATTTCTCCTTAATTCTAGATTGGATCTCTTTTTAATAATCTTCCATCCCTTACTTCTTGTCCTGTGCTCAGGGTTTTAAAAAGTTGGTTGACCCCTTTTTCTCTGTGAGTCTCTCAAGTGTCGGAAGAGTGCTCTCAGGTCACCCCTAGTCGTCTTCCTTAGACTAGGCATATCCAGTTCCCACAACCCATCATTGAATACTTTAGCCTCCAGCACCATAATTATCTTTGTTGTTCTTTAACCTCTCAACATCTTTTTTTTAAATCTGGTGTGGATTAGAATTGGACGCAGATACCGAGTGAAGGGAAAAGCGTGAGAACAAGTCATAATGGAGGCGTGTCCACCAAACTCGGAGAAACTCTGGGGAGTTCCTGGGTGGAAGGGGTGGGGGGGAGAGAAAATCTTCCTTCTGGAGGCCTTGCAGCCGGAGTCGGCTATTCGACCGTGCTGTTAGTGCAGTTCTCTCCGGAGCGCGGCGCTAGGAAGCCACGCTGGCTGCCCTGAAGGAGCGGGATGAGCGGAGCCTCGTTTAAGAAGTACGACGGCTGCGGCCGCTCGTTCGCTCTGCCGCTCTTGCGTGGAGGAGGCACAGTGTTGGGAGGGGCGCGCAGAAACAAGCGCGGCAGCGGCGCTGACAAGGTGCTGCCCGCGGAGGCCTGTTCCGCTAATCCCGCTGCCCGCGGAGACAACTTCCACTCGGAGCAACAGCGCGCAGCTTCTGCCGCCGGTGGTGGCGCCTCTGCTGCGGTGGGAAGCGACCACGCCTCGTGGACTAGCAAAGGCGGTCTCGAGCTCTGGAAGCGTGACGAGAAAGAGGCGGAGGGAAAGAAGGCGGCGGCGGCGGGACCCGCAGCTCGGTGGGCGTCTCCTCGAGGGACGGAACCCTCTCTTTCTCGCCGCCGCCCCATCCTGTGGCTACCACCATGGCCGCGCGGTCCCGGCGCCCGTGGCTGAGTGTAGTCCTGGGGCTAGTCTTGGGGTTCACTGTCGCCTCCTGGCTCATCGCCCCCAAAGTGGTCGAGCTGAGCGAGAGGAAAAGGCGCGGCGGCCACGGCGGCTCCCTGAGTGGAGGCGGTGGCGGCGGCAGCAATAACCTCTGTGCTTTCTATGGCCGCGTGGCTGGTCTGCCCGGAGGAAAGAGGCAGCTGCGACCCGAGGAGCCGGCGGTCACGGCTGCAGGCTTGGGGGGCGGTAGACACAGGCGGTGGGAGAGGGAGCAACAGCCGCCCCCGGCGCCGCCCGCCGCAGAAGGGCCAATGCCGAGTCTCCCGGTTGCAGCTGCTGGAAGAGACCCCCAGGAAGAGGACGAGGAGGAAGAAGGCGGCGCCGGCCGCCACGGCAGCAGCCACAACGGCAGCGGGGACTACGCGGGCACCCCGGGCTGTTCCAAAACCCGGCACTTCCTTTACGTCGGGGTGATGACCGCCCAGAAGTACCTGGGCAGCCGAGCGCTCGCAGCGCAGCGGACCTGGGCGCGCTCCATCTCCGGACGGGTGGAGTTCTTCTCTAGCGAGGGATCGGTCCCTCCTCCCGGCCTAAAAGGAGAGCAACCCCTGCCAGTCGTGGCTTTACCCGGCGTGGACGACTCGTACCCGCCGCAGAAGAAATCCTTCATGATGCTCAAGTATATGTACGACCATTACCTGGACACCTATGAGTGGTTTATGCGGGCGGACGACGATGTCTACATCAAAGGTGAGAATCAAGAGTTCCGTTAGTGTGATTTTGTCTTGTGCAAAAGAGAAAGAGAAATGAGAGGGATTGACCATGTGCAGAGGGCGCCAGTGACCTGAGAAGTGTAACTAGCATCAGTAGACTTGCGGTTGGTAGATAAAGGGCAGGACTTCTTGAAAGCTTTAAAATCTGACTTTGGCAGATACAAAAACGATGCAGCATCTGACTATATATTCTGTAATGTTCATGCTTCCAAAATGTACTAAATATTTGAAATTATGAGGGATTAGATCCTACTGAAATTCTGCATGAACATGCTAAACATTTGCTAAGGTTGAGCAAGTAAAGAAACCCTCTTATTTGGACTCACTGGTTCCTTGTTATCTGCTTGTCAAAACTGACTCATAAACAAGTTACAAAAAGTACACCTTTACAAAAAGACTTATGTGATTTGAGTTCAACTCTTGGTGGTTGCATGAATGCATCTCTTGTTCAGAATTATCTAATGGAAGAATGGCAATAGCCATGCAAACATATTAATAGATTTCAAGTTATATTATTGTGTAATATACCACATGCAAACACTGTATTAATATAACCTATAAAGTAATTTACAAAGTATTTTTCCAACTTTATTTAATATTTTTTTATACTGCTACCTAGTAAGGAGAGAAGCAACCTAGAACTAAGGAGAACTTTCCTGACTTTTAGAACAATTAATCAATGGAGCAACTTGCTTCCAGAAGTTGTGAATGCTCCAATACTGGAAGTTTTTAAGAAGAGATTGGACAACCATTTATCTGAAATCGTATAGGGTTTCCTGCTTGAGCAGGTGGTTGGACTTATAGACCTCCAAAGTCTCTTCCAACTCTGTTATTCTGCTATGGCAATTGCAGAAATATAGTAATAAGTTGTCCATAACTAGAATGCAACATAAATAAATTTAAGTGGAATTAGAAAGAAAAGTTTGTAGAAGACCTTTTCCACCTGGTGGTGTCCCTAAATGTTTTCAGCTACTGTTTCCATCATCTCCATTGATAGGAATTGCATTGTACACATCTGGGGGCAGCTGGATTAAGTTGTAGAAGTCTGGTTTTTAGTTTCTGAAATAACAAATTGCCAGATGTTGTGAGTTTTATTTTCTCTTTATTTCAAAGGTTTTAATACCAGCTCTTAGCTTCAATAGTCTTTAAATTGCAGGGTAAACTGAATTGACAGGTCCCCAGAATTTTAAAGAAGCATCAGTAATATTTATCAAAGGCTTCAGTTCATAAGATTGCTTTGCAAACTCTAATTCCAACTAATTTAACTCTTTAATCACTGAACTGTGCCTTATAATACAAGGTAGTCCTCAACTTACAGCAGTTTATTTAGTTCAAAGTTACAGTGGCACTGAAAAAAGTGAATTATGACTGTTTTTCACAGTTACAACCTTTGCAGCATCCCCATGATCATGTGATCAAAATTCAGATGCTTGGCAACTGGTCCATACTTATGACCAGTTGCTGTGTCCCGAGGTCATGTGATCTCCTTTTGTCACCTTCTGACAAATAAAGTCAATAGCGAAGCCAGATTCACTTAACAACCAGGTGACTAACTTTTCAATGGCAATGATTCACTTAACAGCTATGGCAAGAAAGGTCATAAAATGGGGTAGAACTCAGTTAACAAATGTCTCACTTAACAACAGAAATTTTGGGCTCAATTGTGGTCTTAAGTCAAGGTCTACCTGTACAATTTTATATCTACTTACTTGGAATAAATATATAGGATTCTATAGTTCTTAGAAAAATATACTTTGAACAAAAATGTAAACTTGATAGCTAGACAACTAAATCATTCTTTCTTGTAATTAATCAAACAGCCTTTACTGCATCCATTGTCTAAATACATCTTCGCTCTTTTGGATATTTGCCTGATATCCACTAAAATAGTTGAATGTAAATCATTTTTTTGCAAAGTAATACAGTGCGCGCTTTACATTTTGAACAGAGCATAGCTACTGTAGATCACTGAAATGAAATGGGATCCCTGCGAAATGATAAAAATTTGATTAGGACCCTGAATTCTTTGTAGGTTAGTGGGCTTTGTATTGCAGAACTACAAAAGACAATCCCCTTGCTACTGTGTGTTGTGATTTCTCCCTAAAACGACAGAATGGAAGGGGAGTAGAGCTGAGTGATTGATATGCCTCCTTTCTAATCATAGACAAAGCTTTTATTTTAGTATCACCAATCATAGTACTTTAGAGGAATAATATGAAGCATTATGTCCTTTGCCTGCAAATATATAATTCTTTTCAAAGACAAAACATTACAGGCATTTTTTTCTTTGTCTTTGTATTTTTACATTTGTGTTTTTAAATTTAGTAAGAATTTAAAGGAATTGAACTTCAAAACACTTGTACATATTTCTCTGGAATTAGGCAAGATTCCTCTCAAGAATACCGTGTACTGTGTCTGCCTACAGCAAAATATGGGTTTTCCATACTAATCAGTGAAAAATTGATTTTTCTGAATCTTGCTTAAGAGGGGACAAAACCAAACCAGTCAGCTTCTGAATTTATCCAAATAAGAATATTTGCTAAATTATGAATTTATATAAATGTGTTTGCGTGAAAAGAGAGACATACATGAAAAGAGTAAATAGATTATTATTTAAGATGTTTTTAAGACACTTGTTTATGAAAGATGTTTATGAAAGAAGGGTTTGTGTACTGTTGGCCTCAGCAGACTGATAGAGCTAACAAAATCAATTTTCATTATACAATAAGATGTAATTTAATTCCTGGGAGTAAGACCTGGGAGTAAAGCCCATTATACAGAGAGCACTTTAAAAGGCAAATATATTATTTTCTATGTAAAGATAGATTTGTGCTGTAAATAATATATTTTTATTTTTTTTTTCTTTTAGGTGAAAAATTGGAAGAGTTCCTTCGGTCACTGAATAGCAGCAAACCTCTTTATTTGGGACAGACAGGACTAGGAAATACAGAGGAACTCGGAAAATTGGGTCTTGAACCAGGAGAGAACTTCTGCATGGGAGGGCCTGGGATGATCTTCAGTCGTGAGGTTCTCAGAAGGATGGTACCCCATATAGGTGAATGTCTTCAAGAGATGTACACGACTCATGAGGATGTGGAAGTGGGCAGATGTGTTCGGCGATTTGGTGGTACTCAGTGTGTCTGGTCATATGAGGTAAGGAATGATGATGATGGCATTTGTACATTAGATGGCTAAACGTTTTGGCTGCACACTCTGACCCCATGTGTCTTGTCCACAAAAATACACAGCAGGTGTGGTATGGCGGATGTAATCAACATATTATAAGATGTTATATGATTTACTCATGGGCTAAGTGCTATTTGCATTCATGCCTGACAGCAACCAAATGTATTTTGGTTTTTTTTAATGATACACCACAAATCAACTTACACTGAGTTCAATGTATGCCAAAGTATCATACCATCCTCAGTTACTGTATGTACTATTGGGCTAGAAATCAGTTAATTGGAGGAATGGGTTGTATGAATGAACTTTAGTGCTTATTCATCATAATTCTAAACACCACCATGACAGGATGCATTCTTGGAGTATATTGTTTTGTTATTTCATGGTTTTGGTACTAACTTGAAAGTGCATATATAAATAATGTATTGATTCATATATTTATTCAGATTGTAGCAATACCCGTCAGATTTATTTCTGGTTAAGTATAGAGCTGCTTGACTTAATGGAAGAAGTTTTGGCATCACTTCTCAGAATGCAGTGTGCTGTTGGAACAGAAAAGAGCAAAATTTGGGCCTTTCTGTCCTATGAAAAGTGGTATTCTTGCAATCCAGTTTGGCACGAAGTTGCCAGTTGTGTTTGAGCTGAATTTGGTTCTGAATGATTTCTCAATCTCTCCCAGGCTAAATATTTTGACTTTGAAACAGCAACTTTGATCTCAAAATGTAGTTTTAAAACTAAGGTAACACTTTCAGGGATGTATGAACTTAGAAGACTTTTGTATGGTCAAAGTGTATTTCAAACTTATGAAGGTTTTACATATGTGTGGACATACATCTGCTGTGTGAGTTAACTCTAACCTTACTGCTTTTAAGAAAGGTCCTCTCCTGCTAGATTTTGTGATGGTATGATTCTAGTGGCTTTTAGTTCTTTATATTATTACTCATCTTGAATTTCTTATGAGTAGAAAGACAGGGCAAAATCATATCTACTTATATATAACATTAATCTAATGTATTTTTGGCTTAATGTTGACATTGACTTATAGCATAAACCACAATAGGTTCTTTTCTATCTAATACACACATCAAAATAGATCTTACCTTGCATTTCCAGTGAAGACATGCATACGTGTTTTCAACCAAATAGTCATGGATTCCTGGAAGTTATAGCATTCTATTTCATTCACTACTGAGTATTACCATATGTGAACCTTCTCATTCTTCTACTCTGCAGAGGGACATATTCCCCTTCCCCATCTATTGATTTTAATTTTGGTTAATTAAATTTGGAAAAACATTTTTGAAATGGAAAGAGTGTCAAGGAGTATATGGGATAGGTATGGTATGGTATTCCTCATGCAAAAATGAAATTTTATTGGATGTGCTTAAAGCAATTCTTAACTATGACATTAATAGGCTATTAAAAGTAGATTATAAATGCAGAGTAGGTAAACAATGTTACATATTATATATTATGGAATTAAATTAGTTGGCAGAAATAATTTATTTCTTTACTATTGAAACATAAATGCATTAATCGGATACAGTGGTTTATTTCCTGCAAAACCTATTGCAGTCCTAATAGACTTATGATTTTAGGGAATGCCATTTGAAGTTATCTTCCACTCTTCCATTATGTATGGTGAACAACAATTTTGATGCATCATTCCAAACTCATCTTTTGATTTCTCACAATGTGGCCATTTTTTGTGATGACACAGATCAAACGTAGTCAGAGTTTTTAGTTTACAGTCATGTTGCTTCATGCCTGGAACCACAAAATTAAAACTCTTTTTCCAAACCTCAACATTTAATTGAAATATATTTGAGATCACCATGTTGATCAGATAGCATTGAGACTACGTGATTTGCCTAGATTTACTCTGTAAATTGAAGACATAAAGATGTATAATTATTATTATACTTATGTTCTAAATTATTGTGCTACTAATTTAGCATTAAAATGTCCTTGCCCTTGTGTCATTAACTCATTAAACGGGAGCAAAATCAATTTAAATAGGCCAATGAATGAGGCTATGAAAGACAAGACAGAGAACAGTAATTGGATTTGGTGATAACATAGCATGCTTCCATTTTCTTTTGAAAAACATTTTAATAATAAAGTGTGCAACATAAAAAATCTGCTATAATCATCTAAATTCCATTCATGTTGTTAAACCACAGAATATTAAAATATAATGAGGAACAAATATATGACCTCTGTAATCCTGTTAAACCCTTAAAATTATGGAAAGTTGGAACAAATTTCCCCTTCCTGTCTCAACAGCTTATTTAAAGATGAACATGAGTGAATTGGGTGGAGAGGAGCAAAAATTCAGTGGCCTAGGCAAAAGTCTGTGCAACATTATCTGTCATCTGATTCAGAGGAAAAGTAGTTTCATTCATTTTTGCCATATATCTGTTGATTAATTAAGTGCCATCTGGTCAGTGTCAACCCTTAGATACCCTTGATAGATCTTCTCCAGGATAATCTATAACCAACTTTGTCCTTCAGGTCTCACATATTGCCCTCATTGTCACAATAATTAAGTATAGTAAAATCTCCATAGTTGACCACCTCTTTTAAGTTGACCTAATTTTCGTAGACTGGACGTGAACTATATGTACACAAAAAAAGCCAACCTTTCTGTACTGACCACCTCTGTAAATTATTTCTTGACCACCTGGGCCCTGACACACAGTATTAATTTGCTCTCTATAATTTAACCAGTTGAGTCCAGTTTGCACCAAGGGCAAGAAAAGTGAAATGCAAAATTGGTAGCAATGAATTTTTTTTCAAGAAGAATATCAAAGAATACAATATTTTTTACTTTGTTTCGACAGTAAAGATGACAACATCTTTAACGCTGATGAGTGTGGACTCTTTTTCAATGTCTTGAAAGGGTGACAAATGTAAGAGTGGAAAACTTTCTAAACAATGTTTCACAGTTCTTCTGTGTGCTAGCTTAACCGGAGAGAAGCTAAAACCCTTGGTGATTGGTAAATCAGCAAAGCCACACTCATTCAAGAACCTGCAGCCCAAAAACCTCCCCGTCACTTGGAAATCTAACAGATCTGCATGGATGATTGGTGTTCTCTCTGAGGAATGGATAAGAGGTATTGATCGAAAAATGAAGAAGAAGAAAGGGTCCATTCCATCCACAGAAATTGCAGATATTCTGAAAGAAGAGGATGTCAGTCATTTGAAGTCATTTGCCATGGAAAAATACACAGGTATGCTGAGTGGTATAGACAGCATTGAGACTGCTATCTCCACTTACCTTCATAAAAAGAATAAGAAACAGACTAAAATTGACTCTTGTTTTCATAAAGAATGATCAAACCATGATCATTACAGACGTAAATATATTGATTTTGTATGATACAGTATTTTATGCATGATTTCCTGTGTTTTTACCATATGTGTTTCTGTATAACATTCTCTGTCAAAAGCTGTACAATAAAATGAGCCCATGTTCATACCGTGTTTCCCTGAAAGTTAGACCCAGCCCGATAGTAAGCCCTAGCTTAAATTTTGGGGATGGGCCTAATATAAGACCTATTCCAAAACTAAGTCCTAGTTTTGGGGCAAGGCACACCCCTAAAATCAAGCTAGGGTGGGGTAGGGGGGGTGAAGCTGCCCCACGCATCCTGCACTCACTTACCTTACGTATAGGACCACCATAACCAGGCCTCCCACACCCCGACACCTGTCATGCTGCTACTTCTGTGGCCACTTGCCGCCACTTGTGGCTGGATGCCATAGTAGGACGCCGCATGGCACTTCAGGCTGCTTCTGCTTGCACACTTCGGACTGCTTCTGTTGCTCAAAATGCTTTGGGCTGTTTCTGTTGTTCATGGCAGGACACCACATGGCGCTTCAGGCTGTTTCTGCTGCGGAAACAGCCTGAAGAGCCATGCAGCGTCCTGCCGGGAGGAGCGGAAAAAGCACAAAGAACCAATTGGCATCCTGCCGGAAGGAGCAGAAACAGCACAAAGTACCACATGGTGTCTGGCGGCAAGTGGTAGCAAGCAGCCGCAGAAGAAGTCAAGCTGGTGTCAGGGTGTGGAAGGCCTGGTAGTGGTGGTGGTCCTAAGGTAAAACATTCTCCAAAATTAAGACCTAGTGCCTCTTTGGAGGCAAAAAAATATAAGACCGGTCTTAATTTTGGGGAAACACGGTATCAGTACAGTTGTTCCGTACATTGACCACCTCCATCTGTTGGCCACTTTCGTGCAGTCCCTTGGGTGGTCAGCTTTCAGAGGTTTTCCTCTATATCCACCTTACTGCTGGTTGCCACCTTCTCTTTCCTCCCACCTTTTCAGAGGATGGACTTTTCAGGGGAGGTATGTCTTGACACGTTGTATTCAAGATAATTTGAGTGTCTTAACAATTGTGGGTTGGTTAGTTTAATGGTCCATTTGTTTTCTTGCTTTTCATTATATCCTCAAGAGTCTTCTCCAGCACCAAATTTCTGAAGTATCAATATTCTTTCTATCCTGCTTCTTCAGAGTTCAATTTTTGTTTCCATAGAATGTCCCAGAGAAAACAATTCTGTACAATTCTGATTTTTTTCATAGATATAGAGACATGAAACATTTGAATATCTTTCCCTTGGCCTTCATTGCTACATGTTCAAATGATAGTCATATTTATTGACTATTGGTTTCTTTACTGTTGATAATTTATTATAAAAGACACAAGTTTTCTGCCATTTCATTATTCTCTATTTGCTAAAGATTGCTGTTGTGTCTGTTGGAATTAGTTTGCTCTTCTTTATATATAATTATAATCTCATTTTTCATCATGTTCCTTCATTTTTATTATTAGAATCTTCAGTAAATTTCCATTAAATTATGAAAATAATGTCAACAGGGGAATGCAGGTTATTGATGTTTCTTTTTTCCAGTTTTAAAACTATACTCATCTTCATACAGTTCAGTCTCAATATATAATCACCATATCAA